ACGACGATGACGACGACGACTACTAAGGCTACGACATTTACTACTGCTACTACTTTACTACTACAAATCCGCCCTGTCCGGCCTTGTTCACGGCAGCGATGCAGCCTTCAAAGAACCGTTCGTTGTCGAGCTCCTCGGCAAACAACGTAGATGGGTCGTTATCAATTAGACTTTCGAGCTTGTTACAGTGACAGGCGATTGCTGGTTTTAGACTTGGATTTTTCCAGCGGGTGTGGTTATGTTCTAGCGATTTCAGGTGTCGCGATTGGAACGCCGTTTTATGATTCCCCGGAAACCTGCCTGTGTCCACGGAAAGGGACCCGATTTGGAGCCCACGCACATCGACAAAATCATAATAATCCCTATGGCAAACCCTTAAACCTAAACCCCTAAANNAAACCCTAAACCCTAAATCAACGCTACAAGCATCCTAAACCGAGGTACCAAAAACACGCCTCACGAATCACTCTAGGAAGAATGGAGGCCGTTACGGCCTCCACAGCTCAGGGAGCGACAACGGTTGTCACTTTAATTTTAAGGGCTCCCGAAGAGCTTGGTTTAGGGTTTAGGGATTAGAGTTCTTAGGGGTTTGAATCGGATGCTACAAGGGTTCCTGTAATTACGAGATCAACCCCTCAAAAGGCCTAGAGCCTCACTCTCTAACCCAATGAACCTTGAACCACTGGCTCCTAAGCCTCACCCTACACTAAGCATCCCTGACCCTGAGCATCAAATCCGAACAAAGCTTCGCCCTAAACCCTAAATGCCCCTGAACCCTAAACCCTCCTGAAGACACCTAGAAAGCGCTTCGAAAAACAAACCTGAACCCCAAACCTCACACCAAAAACCCTAGAACCTACAGCCTCAAGACTCTCTACAGGAACACTTGTAGCACCCCTTACTAAGAACCCTATCAAACCCCTCAAAAACCGAAAGCTGATAGAGAGCCCCTAGAGGACCCCTAACGAACCCATAGAGCCTTCACTTCCTCGAGGCCAAGGCACCGCACCCACGCACCACTCGAGCCAGAGATGACCTTCGATGCCGCCTCTTCCTTGGCTTTAGGGCTTATAGAGCATTGGGGTGCTAGGTTTTAGGGGTTAGGCCATTGGGGTTTGGGGTTGAGGGTTTAGGTTAAAGGCATTGGGGTGATAGGGCAGTAGGGGCATGGGGCTTGGGGTTCACTACGAAACATCTGCCCGGGTTTCGAGGGTTATGTAGAGTTGTTCATGCAGGTTCAAGACAGTTAGGGTTCACGGTATTACGGTTTAAGGTAAGGTTTCAGAGCATTTTGCGTTCAAGGTTTACAATGGGGTTTAAACTTTTGAGGGAGTGGGGGGGGCACGTCCTCGACGGCTTGGCTTAAGCGTTAAGGGTCTTGGGTCAGGATCACAAAGGTTCGACTCTTAGCCGAGCAGTCTGATGCTCGAACAGGTTTTAGTGCTTGGCGGGTGCGGATGATACGAAAAGGTCGGAGTTGCAGCAGACTGAAGGCTTCTTGAACTACCGCCACTCGCGAAACACAGGCATGAACAGGGGTGGCATGACAAGCACACAGAAAGGACACATGACAACAGCGACTGGCAAACAAACGACAACGAAGACATCCTCCCCTAAACTTATGTGGAACACCAAAGAGCCCTTGGTTTGCGAGAGTTGTCTTTATACATATCAGAGTATATGCATATATAAACACATGTACACAAGACAAGACAGCACTTTCTCCAAGGCTCGCTGCAGCCAGAACCTTGTGCCGTCTCCCTGGTCGGCGGGGGCTTTGTCGGCGGTCTCGAGCATCTCCGTCCGCATGCTGACCACTTGCCTTGAAGGCTTTAGGAGTTTGGGGGTTTAAGGGCTTAGGGGCTAAAGGGTCCGGGGGTTTAGGGGTCTGGGGATAAGGCGATGGTGACTACTTGTTTTTAGGGTCTGTGTTTTTGTTCTACAGAAACGTGAATGTCAGATTCACTCTCTTTGAAACAGGTGCCATGGCGATCGCGCCGGGCCTGTATAGGGTTGAAAACTCTGGCTGCATGGGTTGCACAACCAGGAAATGGTTCCGATGCCGTTTTGCCACCACATCAACGCGGATTTCGAAGCTACTGCCTCGGTAGTTCGCGCATTATCACACAGACGCCTTGAAATGCCCTTCACCTCAGACCCCAAACCATTTTCTTATTTTACAGCCACGAGTTCAGGGCTTGAGATGCAAGAAGCAGCACCCCCCCAACCAAAAAGCCGTCCTGATGGGAGACCTGGGTCATTTAAGAGAAAAGTTATGAGGCACAGGTGCGCAGCTTCTCTATGGGGTCATTGACATATAACAATGGCAGAACCGGCTACCAATAGTTGAGACCCTTGTCCTCATGCTGCCGCGATACTGCAGATCTTTCGACCAGGAGCTCTTCACTTCGGATTCCAACCTCAGACATGCTTAAGGGCTGAGGGTGTAGCAGCCCATTTCAGAAGGGTGCTTAGGTATGGGAGTCCCACTTTGGGGGTTCTTACAAAACAATGCTACTACTCGATGTCTAGATTAGTCATGACGGCCGTCCGTCTTTGCTGAATCCACAGATGCCCCCAACAACAATTCCACTGACGGGAAGCTCATCGAGGGTGCCCAGTGCCGGTTCCAGGTGGCCCGATGCGAGGTCCTGCAGAGCGACCCTAAACCATAAACGCAAAACCACTAAGAAGTGGTTTACAGTTTGGAGGGTTGTAGGGCTCCAGATCCGGAGAATCATAAACCTTAGAATCACTTGAACCCTTTCTCAGCACAAACTGTAGGATGTTGTGAAGCCTCTGAGAACTCCACAAACCCCTGACCCTAAACCCTAAACCGCAAAACACCTAAAACCCTAAACCCCTAAACCCTAAACCTCTAAACCCCAAACCCCTAAACCCCTGCCTCGACCCTAAACCCTAGATGCTACACCCTAAAGCCCTCCCTACCCTCTGAACCTGTGGGACCCTCATGGGTCCTGCGGCAGGCATTTCAGACCGCAACCTGCCCGAGGCTGGGCTACGCGGTCCTTATAAGGGTATTCTGGGGTTCTAATTAGGTTCGCTTAAAGGATACTTTGGGGTTCTAGAATTTTAGGTTCACTTAAAGGGTACTTCAGGATTCTATAATAAGGTTCCCTTAGAGGTACCCGTTCTATAATTAGGTTCCCTTCAAGGGTGCTTAGGGTACTATAATATTAGGTTCCCTTCAAAGGATTTTTAGGGTTCTATAATTCGGTTCCCTTAAAGAGTACTTGAGGGTTCTATGATTAGGCTCCCTTAGAGCATACTTTGGGGTTCTATAATAAGCTTCATTTTTCGGTGTATAGGGTTCTATAAGAAGGGTCCCTTTAACGTAGAGGGTTCTATAATAAGGTTCCGTCTGGTGGTACGATAGGGTTCTATCATAAGGTTCCCTTCAAGGGGGTTTAACCTGACACTCCTAAACCCTAAACCCTAAACCCTAAACCCTAAACCCCTAAACCCTAAACCCCTAAACCCTAAACCCTAAACCCTAAACCCTAAACCCTAAACCTAGCACGGCCTTCAGGTTCCTACGGAGTCACAGGCTCTTCTCGGCCCAGCTTCGGCTTTAGGGTTCAGGGCTTTAGGGGGTTGTTGGGTTTCTGGCATTTGGGATTTCCACTTTGGGGGTCCGGGGATATGGTGCTCCGGCTGTACGATCTCAAGGCCTGTGGCTTCCAAGTTTTGGAACTTTGGGTAGATCGACGACTGCTACTCGTGTAGTTACATTAGGGCGGAGAACAGGGTCTACTGTGAACAGGCAGAGAGACCCACACAGGAAAAGATACCTGAACACGCAGGCTTCTTAATTCTCTTGCAGTCTAGGTTTCAGATCCCTGTGCACAGCGAGGTTCTCAGACTTGTACACCCAGACTTCTGCAATGCAAAAATCCGAAACCCTACACATTCAACACAAGTCCAGCCGTCTCCATTGGAGATTCTCCTTCTTCCCGACACCGCAGCCCAAGTACTTCCCAAAGAGCCTAATTAGACTAAAAGCCCACTTTTCCAGACCTTAAACCCTAAACCCTATACTTTGGCCTTCGATCCTTGACATCAAGGCATGGGCGGGCCTTTCCGCTTGCTGGCCTGGTCCAAGTAGACGGCCTGGGTGCTTCATCGGGTCTCAAAATTTCAAGCTTAAAATGGGTTCAAATTTTAAAGAATTTCAGGCTTCAGGGGATTACGGGTGGGAACTTTGAGATAAGGATCCTTGCGACATCAACACGATCATGCCCAAGAAACTGAGAATAATCAAGGGTTGCAACCTTTGAATCTCAAACCCGAGAACATCAGAAACCAGACATGTATAATTCCATACCCCATCTCACTAAACCGATGCAGCCTGAAGCCGTCAAACCTGCGAAAGCCGGGGCCGCAGCATGGCCATCAAGTTTGCCTTTGATGATATCTCCGGCAATGCCTGAGATGCGGTTGAGGCTTTGAGGCTTCGGCAATCGATGCCTTGAGTCTTAATGTTGCACTGGGTTTAGTGGGTGGGATCCCTTCCAACCATTACCTGGCAGCGTGAATAGCGTGATCCCTGTGATAAGTGATACGTAAGTGTGGCCTGGAATCCTGTCCGAACCGAGACGATGACGACGTCATGAGCAGCACCACAGCATGACTCGCCTTTGAAGCCTGAAATGTACAGACTACCCGACTATCCCTAAAGCCTGAACCCAAACCCTAAACCTTAAACCTGAACCCTGACGAAACCCTGAACCCTAAACCCGAAACCTGAACCCTGACGACAAAGTCCGGGTGGCGTGTCATGCCCCCAGGCAGCGACTTCAGCCGCTCCGTGGTGAAGGGATTCTCGGGCACACTCACTGACTCCTGGCAGTGTTGGGGTTTAGGGTAAACAGAGGTTTAAGTCCCTGGTTCATGTCGGTGGAACACGTTCTACAAGCTTAGGTGGAGGCAGGCCTTCTGTCAATACGATTTGGGGTACGTATTGAGAAACCTGACAAATACGACTACTACTGATTCAGGCTCGGGACGCGGGGAACAGGTCTTCAAGGGTTTGGGTCTTGGCTTACCGTGGAAAGGTTCGGTGACAATTACATCACCCAGCCGGATCTGCACTATTCAACTATTCCTGAGAACCCTCCATCCAACATTCCAAAACACCATCCTCGAAGTCGCAGACGAAACTGTCGGAGATCGTCTTCAGAGGCTGACCCAACATGTCCAAGACCTGCAGAGTCTCGGCTGTCTTGCGGCGTCGTGAAGGAGGAGTTTTTTCCGGTTCAAATTGTGGGGGTTTTGGGGCTTCGGAGAGTTTAGACTCAGGGTTTGAGATGTAGAGAGGATGACTTCATAGCCCCGAATGGTCGTAGGGCCTGCAGAAGCCCACCAACATGCACACCCTCAAACAAGACTGGATACCCACAGCAATGCCCCTATGAGGATTCATGCACGCAGAAACTCTAAACTCCAAACCCGTCTGCCTGAATCTCAGATCTTCAAACCCTTTCACTTGACGAAGCAACCCTGGAGCCCTGAAACAAACCGAGCCCTCAACCCCAAACCCCCAAATCCTAACCCACACCTTGAACTCTGAATCCCATGGAAACCCTGTTAGGCTGCTACAAAATCCTTTAAACCCGAAACTCCTGAATTCCGAACCCTCATAGAAGCTTTAGAAAGCCCCATAATCCTCCTTTCAAAAGCCTTCATGGCACCTGAAACCGAATACCTGCAAGCCCCGAGCTCTGCAACAGTTCAAAATATGCATAACAAAAGATGATAATACTGTATTGCTGCAGCATCTGGCTTGGTAAGCTAAGCCCTAAACTCTAAACTATACTTTTTCTTACCTTCTAGATCTGACCTCCGACAAAGGCCAAACCAGCTCGGAGCTGCTTCAAAGAGGCTTCAAACACCTGCGCCAGAGCCTGAGACCTAAATCGGGGTTTAGGGTTTACCGCTGAAGCCCTATAAGCCCTTCCAGAACCTTGATCATTCGTGACCCTCAAAGAACCCCTTCAAGGAACCCTATAAGCCCTAGACCCTTATACACAACCTTATAGAACCCTTTAACGGAACCCTTTCAAAGGACGCCTGTAAAACCCTAGAGCCTTATAGACACCGTCATAGAAACCCTTTAAACAGAAATTCTACCACGAACCCTTGAACCCTTTTCTTTTCAATCCCCGCCGGGGCCTCCCGACCCTGGCCCTCGAGGCTGGCGCTGCGCCGCGCGAAGTCCAAGAGCCGCGGGGCCTCGGAAGGAAAAGCAAAAAGAGGGCTGAAGAGGGCCTCCTTAAAGGCACCCTTTGAAAGGAACCCCTAAAGGCTGGCTAGAAGAAAAAGGCAAATGCAAATGGCTCTGTGTGGGATCTATAGGGTTTTGGGGTTCCGTATTTGAGGTTTAGGGTTTTAGACTTTCGCAGCAATTCTTCAGAGATTTTGTCTTACAGGTTTAGGGCTTTAGGGGTTCCTATAAGGGTACTACTATACTGGTTTGGGGATGCAGGGCTTCAGAACCAGGAATCCGGCAAAATCGAAAGATTCGGAGCACAGGGTCCTCTCCTCTTGGCCCTAAGCCCTGTAACCCAAAGTTCCTGCAAACACCTCAGTAAACTCGATGTCGGGCCGCCGGGGGCGGCAGAAACTTCGGCATGGACTCTTCGCCTGGATAGCTGAAGCTGTCGGAGCTTGGGGGTGTGAGGGTGTGAAGTCTCTGTTTGGGATGAAACCTCAGGTGTTGGGTTCATCTTATGTCGGGTTTATGAAGAGTTCTTCTATTCTTGGAACAAAGCACTCAGCTCATGATACAGAGGGAGCTAAGACTTGGGGCTGCCCCAGACGAAAGTCATTCTTGGAATAACGACCCCCATGCAAGCATTCCCCTTAACCCAAACCTTAAACCCTAGTAACCCCATAAACCTTAAAACCTAAACCGCCGTCTACCGAGGCTCGCCTCCTCCCTATGGGTCCTCTCATCCCGTGAGAAACCCATGCATTCTGGACGCAATGGTAGCGGATGAGCTTCGCGCAGGGACTCCAACCCCGAGCCTAAACCTATAGCTTGCCAGTATGGCGAGAATGATAAAGGTAACCTTTTAATTTGAGTACGGCCCCGGAGGGCACTACCGGGGAGTCGACCCATAAAGCCAGAAAAATCAATAGCTTACGGGCTTTCAGGGCCATCACAATTGGGGTAAGTTTCTGGTTTATACTAGCATCGTAGAAACAAGGAAGCCTACGGAATAGTACTAGTAGGCTGCTACAAAATGAATTTATTAGTAGGCTTATACATTATGAGGTTTTTCATGACGAGCCCCATTGAGGCCATCGCTAATCGAAAGCCGGTCTGTCTTGGAGTTGCTCTGGCAGCTCACCTGGGCACGACGAGACATCCAGAGGATGTCAGAGTTTCTCAAACAAGGGGACCCTAATGTGGACCCCCAGCAACAAGAAGCTCAATGTACGGAATATGTGAGAGTTTGAGAAAATGGCGGACTGCTCCTATGGCCCCAAGATAGATGCTCAGCATACGGAAACCCGGGAAAGGACCCCTAGTGCTACGAACCACCGTGTTGACATGCAACACTGAAGCAAACTGGTCAAGCTCTACCAGAGAGCCCAGTGATCCTTACAATTACGGAATGGGAATATACTGTAAACCTGTAAACCTTAGAGGCACCGCTCTTACTCTGTTACGCATGTGCCTGAGATAAGGACTCTGACATACGCCTATATGTCAATGTGTAGATGCCGGCATCGCCACGTGACCTAAACCATAAAAGCCCACACTTCTTAACTCTGTCTTCAACAAAAAGAGTCCAGCCGCTGCGGATGTCAGAGCCTCTGCAGCGCTGTAGCCTCAAGAGTCAGAATTTGGAGGCTTCGGGGCTGCTTCGTCAAGAATCCTGGCTTCTTCTTCAGAATGTACTGGAACATTGTACTCGGCAAGATCCCGAGTTTTGGGGTCATAAACGGCTTTTACAGCTCTAGTTTGACTGCCTTAGAAACAAGGCTCCTGCTTGTCAGCTTCGTGTCGTGCCGCCAGCACGCTGCTTCACAGACTCTGCTCGAGCTCAGCACTTGTTAAGTTGTCTGGCCGGCAAGGGTAAAACGATATTTGTGACTGCTGACACTTCCAATGTGATCTGCCCCCGCTCGAAAGCATTATCTTACCAAGCAGGAACCGTCGCGCGAAGCCCCTCAAGACAAGCGAGACTCTACATTCTAAAAACCGCGAAGCCTCAAACAATAGCACTGCAACCTAGACACTCAGCCTGTGCAGCTTTAGCCGTTCGACACAGCCACGAAACTGCTGTTTTCCCAAACTGAGCGCAAAGATTAGACACAGACCCCACAATCACCCGTCACTGACCCTTTGTGCTGCGGGTGTATGGCCTGCGACTTCGGAATAGAACTCACGGAAGATTTCTCCTAATTGGGGAGTGGTTGTCTTCGGGTGTCTCCACCGATGATTCCCTAGAAGTACCCGAGCCCAGTGATCAATTGAGGGTTCTATATCTGGGTACTCGGGTTCCTGATTTTCAAGAGACGCCCATCTATCGAAAATTCGGCCTCCATCTTTCTCCAGCGCTGCATGCAACTTGTTGAGCCAAATGAGGCCGCCCTTTTCATCATGGCCGATCCTGATGGTTCAGTCGGTGTTAAATTTTCTGTCGCTTTATAAGGCTCCTTTAGACCATTGCTTGTCACAGCACGCTGCTGCGCTCGTAGTTGCAAGACTGCCTGTTCGCTTCCAATCGGAAGGACCTCAACCCAAATCGTAACGAAACACAACTGACACAACTGCCGACTAGAAGTCAGGCATGAAGCCACAAATGCTTGCTCCATCGGCTGATGTGAGGTATCCCGTCGAACCTGGAAGCCCTCTACCGGTGACTGCAAAACCGGCCACGAAGCCCAAACAAATGGGACCACTGACCCGTAGTTCTGGTAGAACAGATCGAGTTAAGTCCGTAAACCCCCCGGGAAACCCTGCAGTTTCCAAGCCGGAACACTAAATCCTTAAGCCTCACCCTGAACTCCCCAAACCCTAGTCCCTCAACCCTTTATGTTGCCAGGTAGCAAGCATCCGTATTTCGATTCTTTGTACAGCTTCACCTGGGACGCTCATCAGTGATTTAAGGCTTGGGCCCGAAGCCCACGGAAGTAATTAGGATTTAACCCTAGAGCCTCAAAACTCAACCCTTCAACCCTGAAAACCCTTCTGGAATCCCTCAGTCCAAAACCTGTGTCACCCCGCGTCCTTTAATGTTAGTGGACGCGACAGCGTAGTCGTCGTAGTGCGGCGTAGCCGCAATAAGCACACTATGCACCCAGTCTACGTCCTTGGCATCAAAGACCTGGATAGCAACAGTTGGGTGGCCCCGCAAACGCATAACTACGGGCTCACATCAACGCCTAGGACACTGGAGGAGCAATGCCTAAGATCGACTCTTAGTTATGCTGTCATGTTTAGCATTTGTGTCGTTTAGGGGCTGCAAGGGGATCTAGGAATAGGGCTTGGGCGAAAGCTTGGGCTTACACGGACTGGGGTGCGGCAAACCTTAAACCACAAGCCCTGAACCCGAAACCCTATAAGCCCTCAACCTAAGCCGAAGCGCGTATCCGAAACCGTTATGTAACCCTTAGCCGCAAGCGAGCGGCAGCTTCCGCGAAGCTTGGGAGCATGCTGGCCGTGCCCAGTGAGTGCATGCCCATCACCGACCACAGCGTACCTCAAAGTGCTGAGCAGGGTCTATAGGGGTGTAGTCTACGTTGTGGGATTAGGGCTTCGGTTTTGGGGACTGAGCTGCCGAGACACGTCAGTCTCAGATGAAATATCTAACATAAGTTTTAAAACACAATCTATACAGCGTGTGGGGGTGTTGGGCTGTGCGGACAACTACTAAAGTGTACCATATTTCTTGGTGTGAACGAATGGAGCTCCAGCGGCTCGGTTTGCTGGGCTTTAGGTTGAAGCTTGTATCTTGCAGTCCGTGGACCCTGTTATAATTCTCTGCGCCGCACCTGTCTGACTGCGGTTCTGTCACATCCGTTCACATGCCATGGGCAAGTTGCCCGTCCCACGAATTAAGGTGCAAGTTCTGCAGCTTTCCTGTATACTCCATCAACTGCTGGTTCTCGTAATAAGCTTTGAGCAGCTCGTGCTCTTCCTTGAGCACCTCAACCTCACCCAGCTTTGTCATAGCTTTCAGAAGCTCTCCGCTTTTTCGAAAGCCAGCGGCTTGGTATTGAGCTGCTCGGATCTTCCTTGCCCTCTCGTGGCCACTCGCGTCCAGCCTCTTCCCGAACGCTTGGTTCCCAGTTAGGTGCCCCAGCTCGGCGTGGACTTGTGCCGCAGTTTCCGGTGTCAAGCCGAGAGCCAGCTTTGCTTGCTTTGCTTTGCACAGCAATCCAGCCGACAAGAGGTGTTGCAGTATTTGCTTGCAGGAGGTCAGACCGCAAACCTCAAGTGAAAACAACGATTCCCTCGGCTTCGTAAGTCTGCGATCTTTGCCTAGGCCTCGGGCAAAAAGCTCGCGGAGGCACTGCAGGACCCGTGGATGCTTTTGACAAAGTTGCAGAGTCAGCGAGGCTCCTCCCCGTGGCTGCTTGATGTAGCCCTCTGCATCAAAGAAGCCAGCCAAATACTCCCAGCTACATGGCCGAGCAACCGCAGAGTCGTACTCCTTGAGGTCACGCAGCTCGGCCTTACAGTCCTGCCTCTCGGATTTTGCATCGGGCCACTCGGCCGCAAGCAAGAGCTGCTCCCGTTTGGTGATGCTTTGCAGCGCCAGCAGCTGAGCTGCATTTCGGGCTGACTGGCCACATGCCATCCACCGAAGAGTAGGCTTGCGCAGGCCCCGGCCACCCTTTTGTAGCGTGATGCTTCCACCAAGTACCTCGCGAAAGAGCATCAGAATCTTGGCCTGGTCAAATGACTGCCCCACATGTAAATAACATCCCGAACCGTTTGATTCACACGAGACGCAGCCATCTCCGTCGAAGAAGCCGGCCAAGTAGGTCAGCACGGGTTCAAACGGCACATGAGGGAAGTCCGTTCTCTCGGCTTCCAATGGAAGGCGGTAGTTTTGCCCATCCGACGAGAAGAACTTCAGATGTGGCCAAGGAGATTTGCTCAGCTGTACACGGAGCTGCTGGTTCTTCCTCTGCACTTCCTTCAACGAATCAGATGCCTCCGCGTGAAGTCTGCCACACACGTCGGCGATATATCTTGCTGGGCCTCCCAGGGTCTTCCTGCCACTGGCCCAAAAGGCAGGAGGCAGCAAGCATCCCCTCCACCTTCTCGCACGCACGGCCCGTGGCAACAGAACTTGGCTGAATAAAGCTATCATCCCTTCACACCGGACTGTCCAGGAGCCAAAGATGTTGCCGGTGAAGTGCAATTGTTGGAGACTGTTTGCTTTTGGCTTCGGGGTGGATGCAACTTCCAGGTGGTTGCCAGTTGTGTAGTGCCAAGAACTTAGTGCTCTCTATGTTCCAAGCCGGACATCCCACAAACAAAGGTCTGAATTTGTGTGCTCGCCCTCTTAAGCTGCTGATCGTGACAGAATGACATTGAATGGAGACTTTGCACTCGGATGAACATTCAATTTTGAGGCGGTCTGACGAGACATGTTGAGGGGGGACTGATGCGCGAGTCTCAAAGACCACTGTCTGGTGATAGGGATATAAAATACTTTCTTGCCCAAACCATTGGCAGGATCCGGGTGTCCTAAATCCTAAAACCCTGTGTGCTCAGTGTCGAAAGGATAAGAAGGAGCTTTTGGACCTAGGGATTGGCGCTCACAAGAGTAGGACGTCCCCTTCTTTGGAGACGTACAAGTCTACAGCATCTGAAACAAACCTCCTAAAAACCGTTCCAAGAACCTGTAAAGAACGGAATCAAGAGTAAGGACCACCACAACTAAGGATGCTGGAGTGACAGCTGAGGCACGGATCGTTCGACAGTCATCTCCTGCCGATCTTCAATGTCAACGCTTTCTGCAGTCAGCCAAAGATTGTCCCTACATGTGTTCATAAGGAACCGTCACAGGAATTGTAGTCTCACGCGCTGCGGATTTGGGTTTAGGGCTGAAGGCAACATCCGACTTGCAATACTGTGCAAGTCATGACAGCCATGTCAGAATAACATCTGTGACTTGGGTTCCCCAGCGCCCCTCCACACCGTGGCTCAAGCGCGGCATTTCCGAAAACGTACAGTCACGTGGTAAAGGCACAAACAATTCCAGCTTAACAAAGAACGCGGACCCCAATTCTGCGATCCGACAGAACCTGCGACAAACAGACTGACCATCTGAGAAACTGGACAACAGCCCTGAGAGACTCTTTCTGACTTCAGCGCCACCCTTTTGCTCCTGAAGGGTTCTTGCAAAGACGCACCATCCGGAGCCAGAACCTGGAGACATGTTGGGCTCTGCAAACTGGGTTCATAGCTGCAGGCCTTGTAAGATTCAAGAGCTCAAGGGCTTCAGCACTAAGGTGCCTCTGAGGGTTGGGGTGTTGATGCATGGGGTTTCAGTTCGCCCTCGCTTCCCTCTGTCGTGCAGGGCTTCGGGTACACTTCGGAATTTCTGAAGCCTCACTCCCGACTGAGGCACTTCTCCAACGCCAGACGCGCGACAGTCTGCGCCACATCCTGCTCAATCATGCTTTCGAGATCTTTAGCTGTTCTGGGTAAGCGGGCAACGAACGTAGGGACTAGGTGGCAGACCAAGCCCAGAAACGGAAAGCTGTACTTTGAAAGCTGCACGTTGTTAAAAGCATGATCAACAGCAGCAACACCAAGATTCTGTCTCACGAAATCCGTGAAGCTCAAGAGCACACTGGATACATGGAGCAGCTGAAGGCTCCATACTTGGAGTCGTGAGCGCATGTCGGAAACCCAGTTACCGTACACATGACCGAATTGAATAAGTCCCCTCATCCTCCCTGTCGGTGCCAGTTGTTCTCAAACAGATAGCTATCAGACAGGTACGCGTCTCAGTCAGGATTTCTTCGTAAAGACATGTCTTCAATGGTCGCTCCTGCGCACATGGACCTTCAGAACAACATCCACATCAATCGTCACACACGGCCTCTCTTACGCTAAACTCTGAACCTCTCTTACCCTAAAGCCCCAAACCCGGGGATCCCTACAAATCAGAACCCAGGTTCGGAGCTTGGAGTCTGGGGTTTTAAACCTTTGGGGTTTAGGGTTTAAGGTTTACGGTTTAGTTAGGGTTTAGGGCTCTTTCGGGCTTGAAAGGTTTTTGCGATTTGCGGTTGCAAGGGTGTGGTGTTTTTTTTCTGCGGCTTCGGAATGCAGCTGCTCTTTTTGGGAAGTCGGGTCTGGGTCCCTCGGTTTTCGGGTCTTACTTTTTAGAATAGGAGTTTGAGGTGTGTATCATACTATTTTTATATTGTACATGAAGGCGTTGACATTTGCCAGCCCTAGAACTAACTTTTCGGGGGCTCTGCCGGGTCCTTGCCATTCAGCTTCGTGTGGCTGACACCTGCGTAGGGCTTGCGTCATGCGGAGACTCGGGATCACGATAGTATGATTTGTGCTGAGGATTTGCATTTAATTTAGGGTTGAGGGCTTTACACTAGGGTTTTCGGGGTTTTTTGGGGAACCCGGACATGACTTTCATGCGGATCCCCTCCAAAAAAAACATGAGACAGATGAGATCCTATGCACCCGTGTGGAGCGGAACAACCCTTCGGTCGACAGATCATACCTCATCAACACTTGAAAGTCTCATAGCTGTGTTCTGCAACGACGCAACGAGAGACCCTATGTAAGTCATAACAATCGAGCGAAGAACCAAAGCAAAGCTGAAGTCCGGATCTAGGCAGGCATACCATGGGCTAGCTTTGTGTCCCCGAGAACCCGACAGCATAAAGAACACCTTCATACGATGCCTGATACTGGCTCGTTGTACAACATTACAACATCGTAAAGGTTTGAGGCTCAGCCTAGAACGCAACCAGCCTGCCAGAAATGCGAGGTCAGGAGCCTGATCCCTTGAAACCATTGAAGAACATTGAAGGGGTTCTCTAGTGCTTCAATAGGGCTTCGACCTTTTCGTAGAGGGTTTCTCCATGTCTCAGGGCTTTTGTGACGAGCCTGTGAGGATGCCGTAGAGGGTGAAGAACAATGTCCCGGAGCAGGTCCAGTCCTCCTGGAAACGTGCAAACCCCATGATAACCTTAATGCTACCCAATTCAGATCCTTCCCGTACCCTAAGAATCCCTAAGACATGACCTGGACACCCGGACGAGACACCCCACCCTGCAGCTTCAACAAGCTGTGTAGCTCAATCTTGGTTCCTGTTCTGGTTACTGTAATCTCCGGCTTAGGCATGTTGAAATTCGGGCAACCAATAACTATCGAATTTTCCGGTATCACACCATTCGTGATAATGTGAAGTCCACTTAATGCGCAATAAGCCGTAGTAGATCTGAACCCCCTACTAAAATCATACAAAAACCCGTCGCGTGCACAACTTACCCGAGGCCCCAGCAGAAAAGGAACCCTCACAGAAAACCTTAAAGGAACCCTCACCCTATGCACACTAATTATAGGGGCCTTAATAATTAGAATAGGGTTTTGGGCTCCTTTCTAGTATAAATATAATAAGGAACCCCCAAAATAGTATGGCCCCTATAGTATACTTAAAAGTCGGCAGTTTATGCCTGGAAACCTCGGGGTGTCGACTCTGAGACCGGCACACGATCGAAGCGGTCCATCAGCTCGATGAGGGCCGGCAAGTCCTGCCAGTTTCGAGGTGGTCGTGCTCGGCTTATAGGAACTGCATGTGGAGATATCGGGCTTGTAGAGATTATATAGGTTTTCGTGTTGGCTTGAAACGACAATGCCTTATTAGGCTTTAGGCTCAGTGGAAACAGTTAGGTAATGGCCATCTTATTCTGTCGCAATACACTCAGTTCCTAAACCCTAGTCGCTTTTAGGGTCCTTTTATCAGGGTGCCGACCCAAAAAACGGACCCTACTTTAGAGAACTACCCGAAATAGCCATCAGCCACCTAACCCTCAAAAACCATAAATCCTTACACCCCCGAAAAGCCCAAACCAAATGGCCCTAAAATTCCTTCACCAGGGCTTAGCTTGTCGGATGTCAGGCTTAGGGTTAGGGCTTTCTTCGGACTTCTAAACTCCAAGTCCTCCTACTGCTCGATCCGGATCTTCTGCACACTATCCGAAACCTAGGGTTTAGGGTTTAGGGTTTAGGGTTTAGGCCTAAACCAGATCCCGCTGTCCTGCCGGCTTTTGCCAACTTCTTTCTCGTCCACGGTGAAGTTCTCGTACCTGCACCCAGCCGGCTTAGGGTTTATTCGGGCTTAGGGGTTTAGGGTTGAGGGTTTCGGGCTTAGGGCGTTTGGTGTGTAGGGTTTAGGGTTTAGGGCTTAGGGTTTAGGGCTGAGGGGTTATTAGGGGTTACAGGGTTTATGGCTTAGAGGTCTAGGTTTCAGGGTTTAGCGCAACTGGCAACGAAACATGTCCGAACATTGTGTAACATACCGGTATTACCAACTTCTCAAGGATTCTGGGTTGCAGTGTACCAAAAAGTACTGCAGTTCGACCTCCGTACTACATGGTCAGTTTGGATCTAGTTCATCGCGCTGGGCCCCGGAATCGGCATCAAGGGCCCGACGAGCTGGGGAGATGGACACATCTTCTTAGAGGCTGAGTAGCCTAGCCCAAAAAAGGGTTAACCTTTCCAAAGATGGTAGGATTATATAAACCCCGAAGGCTAAAGTTACCTACTCAGCTACTGAGTCATAGAGACTAGGGGCCAAGGGTTCAGGGTTTAGGGTGGTTGTTTGGTCTAGGGTTGTCTAGGGCTTCAGGTCTACAGCTCCATGCAAACACAGAAGCGGTTTGAAAAGGATACATCAAGGAAGTCTTGCAAAGTGGCTGTTGCTCTGCATTATGATGCCTCTGAAAGGTCGTTCTTACAATGCACTTTAGGACCTCGCGCCTGCTGCCTAAGCCTTACAAACTGAACCGCAAACTTGCAACTCCGAATCTGCCGAAAGCCCAGTTCCAAGGCTGGGGCCTGAGATCCGAATGCCAAACAGGACTTTGGAGATACAACAGATTCAAAACTTAACAGCCCTTTACTGTCGGAAAGAAAAACCATGTGTTTCAAAACCTGTTGGGCGTTTATTGTCATAAATACGAAAAGTGATTCCTAAGGAACACTCAGAGAAAGGGATGATTCCGAAATCCCCTCAAGAAGGCTGCCGAGACGAGCGGCCACTTGTTCTTCACGTAGGACGCCATGACTCCGGACAAGCTTTGATAGCCAAGGAAGCCTCTTGGGTGGTTGGGGCGGCGGGAAGATCCGGCGCCCGTGGTCAATGAATGCAAGGCCATGTCTCGTGAACCGTATGCAGTAGACCCAATCGCCAGCCCTTGGGTACCCGAGAAGTTAGCTGTTTTGAGCCTCCGAGAAGCACCGAAATCGCTTGCCCTTTCAAGATTTCTTAAGCCTCGACACCCAACAGCCGGACGTGAAATGCTACACACCTGGCCTTCCCGCCGGCCACCGGGATGGCCATCGCCATACCTTTGCAAAAAGCACCGACTGTTCAGAATGACTGTGGCGCTGCTGTTCTGGAGCGCCAAAGCTACGGAAGAAGTCGCAGTAGTGGCACTAGCAGTGGCAGTGGCAGTAGCAGTCGAAGCTCTCAGTCGTAGCAGTAGCAGTCGTAGTAGTGACACTGGCAGTAGCAGCAGCTACAGGAGCAGGAGCAGGAGCAGGAGCAGGAGCAGGAGCAGGAGCAGGAGCAGGAGCGGCAGCGGCAGCAGCATTAGGATGGGCAGCAGTTGTCGTAGTTGTTGTTGCGATAATGAGTCTGGGAAACAGTTTCGCTGTACCCCCTGGGATCCCGCTATTGGTGACTCCGGTCCTCGCCGTGCTGGCGGTGACATCGTTCCGGTTGTTGCCTGTCTTTCGGCCATGCTTCTTAGTGCTGTTGCGGTGAAAGCTTGCTCTGAACCACCTGCTCCTCCCCAGCCGAACCCTACCCCCACAACTGGTACCCGACACCCTTTTTTGAGCAAAATGCTCGCGCTATCCGGTCGTTCGGCCTCTTTTAATGTTTGCGGCCCGGTCGCGTAAGGACACAAGCAGAGCTGTCGTTGAGGCAGGCCTGACAAGAACGTCCAAGAGCAGCAGGCAGCTATCATATAGGTCGAGGCTATGGGTCTGCATTGATATCCCTTGTTTCCTGACGTGCGCACCTCAGGCTTTACAGATCAACAGGGGCTGACAAAAAGCCATCTTTTCCGATTCATGGGAGGTTTCTGTGGTTGAATCCGCAGCCATGTGCACACGCTCGTTTCGGATTTGGGGCTTTCCGAAAAATAGGGGACCCTAAGACAGTACCCCAAACAGCAGGATCCTTATTCTAAGGACCCCAAACACAAGGTACCCCTTATTTTCGGAAACTCCCTTTCAGGTGTTCTTTCGGTTTAGGGTTTGGGCGTTTCCAAACCCTCAACCCGACTTCAGGAGCAAGGCCCTGAGAATCACCGCGAACCCCAAAGCCCGACGAACAAAAACTAGCAGTCAGCCTCAAGATAATGTCGGGGCCTTAATAATTAGAATAGGGTTTTTTGGGGTATATTATATTATACTAAGATTATAATATCAGGAACCCCCCAAAATAGCGTTGGTAATTATTAGGGCCCCTATATTAGCTAAAGCTCACCCTCCAGACCCGAGTCTGACATAGAAGAGTTTGGGCTCTGTTGTAATACAAAATACGCGGACGATTGGCGGACTTCATCAGAATTCCAACTGAACCTTACCGCCGACCCACACAGAGAGCACTGCCCGAAAATAGCCAAGCTCGAAGCCCTTGGCGCAAGAACCCGATGCCCGGCCCAACGAACACATGACCTGAAAACAGAAGGTTCAAGGTCGGTGGGTTTGCGGCTTAGGGCGAAGAGCATTCGAATTGCCCAAGCGTCCTTGAGTCCTTGCTCATACCTTCGAAGGTGTATGTCACCCACATTAAAGAGAACATGGTAACAGGATAATGTAGTGGCCTTAATAATTAGAATTGGGTTTTGGGGTATATTGGACTATACTTATAATAAGGAACCCGCAAATATAATAGATAATTATTAGGGCCCCTATAGTATCGGGCTTTCAAAGTGAACCCTCACACACCAGGCCTCAACGAAGCGCTTCCGGTTGACAGCTTGAGGCCAGAAACTGGGTCAAGGCCGGAGCTTCTTTGATTCATGCTCTCGTGTGTGTTTGGGTGAAGGAGCCATAATATCTTGATAACCTACTTGGTGCATGTGCACATATATATATATATATATATGTGCGTGTGTGGATGGTGCGTGTTGCATGTGCAGAAAAGGATTTCATAAGCAGCATCCCCGGAAGATGACCGACTTCCCCAGCTTAACATGGCGGGGAGATTGAAACAAAACACGAACTACTGGGTCCTTGTTAATAAGTGATGTAATTTAAGTTGCCATAGTAACGAGACCGCATAATTTGCTATAGATCACTATTGCGGTGACTTAAGTTAGATCCGTTAACAAGAACCCCGTAGACCGTCACCCACAAACCTCAAGCCGAAGTGCTCCGCGCCCATGTCCGTCATGTTTCGGAGGAGCGAGCCTGCGCTTCAGTTCGAAGAAAGGGCTTACCTGTACCCTGGAACACCTACTCTTTCGGGGTTTCCTTTGGAAGACCCTAAGAAAAGGTAGCTTTAGGGTTCAGGGTTTGCGGTGTAGGGTTTGGGGTTTACATCGGTTTACGGGTTAGGGCTTCGGGGTTAGGCTGCAACGCTGAACTCCTTGGACCCTATGCCATGCCCTCAACCTTGAATCGCCGTAAACCATCTTTCCTGCTCTTCATGACAAGCTCTATCCGCTGCGCGGCCTTCCTCTCGCAAGAGGAGGCGACACTGCTGCGAGACGTGGTTCAGCTTGACCTGGGGTCTCGGGCTTGGCCCCTACACCCATTTAAACCTTAAGCCCTGAACCCCTGAACCC